CTATTTCATTTCTTCAAAGCCAGCAAAATTTTCTTATAATTATGTCAATTGTCCTTTGAAGTCAATATGTCTTGTTAATTACCAACCAAACCCTAACTTGATTGAAACACAAATACGGAGTTTGGTCATTTCATTAGAACATTCTTTGTATCTCCAGACTTTTGTTAGTTAAAATATCCACTTAAACATGGATTAAAATACTCACTTGACTCTCTCTTCCCTGTCTCATTTCTTCTCTGTCTCTTTGTCTCTGTCTGTCTGTCTGTCTATGGAATATATATGTCCCATATCTTTTTATCTCCACTTATATCTATGTCTATTTATGCCTATTTTATATCCATATATTTAATTGTTCTATAGCTATCTATATGTAATCTACCTATATCTGTATCTAATCTCTATTATCTATCTGTATACTATTATCTATCTGTATCTAGTATTATTCATACTAGAGCCACATCTACACCTAAACTACATCTGTACCTCCATCACCTATGTCTGTCTGTGTCCATATGTATATATCACATGCTAGCTTTATCCTTTAACATATTCCATTCTTTTTGTCTGTGAGCAAAACTGTCACTCCTTCTTTCTAAAGTTTATGGCCTTGGTGTTGTTCTCAGAAAGCACTTATTCACCTCAAGAAAATGTATCTATTTCCCATAATTTCCACTGGTCCCATTGTTCATGTGTATCACTGCTCTCCTTAATTTGCTTTTTGTCCTTAAAATGAGAGCAGAAATCCATCTCTTGTCTCTTTTACTTCTCTAATTCTTGTTTGTGGTCTTTTTTTTTTTCCAGTATGGGAGATTGAACTCAGGACCTTGTGCTTGCCAGGCATGCATGGCGCCACTGAACTACATCCCCAGCCCATTGTTTGTGGTCCTGTATGTCTTCCAAAATAAACTTAGCCACTGCAGACCCAGCCATGGCCCAGCAAGAGACAAGGGCTGGAGACCCACAGGCCTGGAAGTTTTTCCCACTGGACACTCAGCCTGGGTTCTGTAATAGGCAGGCCCCTGGATGGAGACTGCAGGCCTAGGAGGCCCTCCTGATGGTCACCATGGCCTGGCCTCTGCCCACATTCAAGGGTTCCTCAGTCCACAATTGGGTAGGGGGACCTTTACCCCAAAACAACAGGAGATGGGATGCTGGGCCTCAGGCAGGTGGGTAATGACCCCACAATTTTAGAGCAGCCTGTCAAGCCCTTGATTTAGGTGTGGGAGAACTCAGTGCCCTGTTTTTTTATCACAGTTGGAAACAGATGTTTCTGCTCCAAGGGGCCACTGAGAGGAGGGTGTCCCATGGCCAAGCAGCTGACTTGTGTGAGCTGTGAAACCTGGCAACAGCCTTGGCTCCAGTCTGGGTGATAGGCTGAGTTAAAGCCTGTGGCTTTGGTGCTGGAAAGGGCATAACCACAGTCCTGTAGAAGCCGTGAGCCACCTGGCTGTCACACATGCTGGTGGGAGATGGCTGTAATGGGTAGGGGTCGACTGACACTCCTGTGGCCCCAAGGGGAAGTCGTGTTGGAAGGCAGCTTCTCACCCTAGAGCAAGAGTGGAGCAGGTGGCGAGGGAATTGAGCTCAGCATTGTGCAGCTGTGGTGAGGTCTTGCCAGGAGAAAGAGGAGCAGGATGAGGGCCACAGCTACCACTTTATAAACACCTCTTTATAAACATATAAAGACATTTTATAAGCATGTTTCCTAGACAGAACTTAAGGACAAATACAGACCCCCTGACCCAACCAGGCAGCTACGGACCTCGGGACAAGTCAAGGTCATGGGCCTTAGTGCCCATCATCCCCTTCAGCCCCTGGAGGCTTGCAGATGGGGCTCTGGCACAAGTGCAGGGACAGAGGGTAAAGCCAGGAGCCACCTCTGTGCAGCAGCTTTGGCACCTGGCTTCTCTCCAGGAGGGCTTCTTCCCTCCTCTGGCCTGCAAGCTCTTGGTGGCTCACTGTCTGGCCTGTCCTTCCCTAACAGCCTCCTCTCTTCCTTCCTTCCTCTTTCCTGTCCTTCTTCCCCTCTCCTGGATGTGGGGTGTGTATGCTCATTACCTTCCTGGACAGGGCGCCAGAATGGATAATGAAAGGGGATAATGGTCAGAGCCAACACCAAGGGATGAAGAAGCCCCTAACCCTTACAGGGTGATGGTGTGAGCTGTGGGTGTTCTGAGGAAGAGGTAGATGAGCAAGTCTGGTGGGGTTGGAGCAGCCCAGGGTTGACTTCATTTTCAGGGCCACAGGCTGCCGTGGCAGTGCAGCATTTTAAAGAGACCACATGGGCTGTGGGCTGGGAGTGGGGTGAGAATGGAGGCTGGCATCAACAGGAGGGCATCACAGGGCTAACCAAGAGGTTGGCAACTGCAAGGGACAGCCTTCGAGGAAGGTTGGGCTGAGGTGGGAGTGGGGCACTAGGGCAGAGAAGAGCACTGGGATCTTGCCGGGTGGGTGGCAAGCAGTGACCCCTCTGGGGCTGGCAGAGAAAGGCTGTGTCTCTTCAGAGAAGGAGGTGGGACAGGTCTGAGATGTGGGGGAGAAGGTGCTGGGAAGGCAACCTGAGGTTCAGCAAGTCAGAGGCAGGGAGGTCTGGTTGGAGGCTCATTTGGCCAGTGATTTTCTTCTTCTTGCTTTTATTAGCAAGTGTCTGTGATATATACAGATTATATTCATTGTGGATCAGGGTCAGGGTTAGGGTTTTGGTAAGGGTGCAGAGTTGGTGCATGTAGAGAACACATCTTAATCCATTTTTGTCTCCGTCTCCTCCCACCCACCTTCTTCCCCCAGCCTCCATCTCTCAGTTCCCTTCCCATTTGCAAAAGATGTATCTCCTTATTCTTTAATCTATCTTTATTTGGCCCTTTAATTTATTTCTACTTTAGGCTTCTCATATAAAAGAATACAATTTTTAAGCGTGTGTCTGATTTGTTTCACTTAACAATGTGGTCTTTATTTTTTCTCTCTTGCCTGATTACTTCGGTTAATGTTTCAAGTACTATCTTGCACAGTAGTGGTTTTAGTGCTCATTCTTGACTTCCTGATTTTATAAGGAAAGATTTCAGCTTTTCTCTACTTATAATGTTGCTAGTAGGTTTGTCATAAATGGCTTTTATCAGGAGTGATGGCTTGTGTCTAGAGGTCTCCCCAAGCCTCACGCAGACATAGGTGGGGCTTTTCAGAGGTGGCTGGGTCTATGGTATGTAACCCTGGGATTAAGTGTATGATGCTGGCATTGTGTGATGCTGAGTTGCTGGATTAAGGGTGTGTGATTACCAAATTAGTCCGCCGATGGGATCAGTATATTTCTGGATGTGGATAACGGGAAAGCCCTCCCTGAGTGTGGATGGCACCACTAAAAAGGTACACTGGAAGGGATAAAAGGTAGAGGGAAGCTGCTTGTTCTGCTGCTTTTCCTTCGCTGCCTCACTGCCTTGCTGTCTTCTGACTATCTAAAACTGTTTCTCCTCTACAATGCTCCTCTGCCATGCCTCCCTGCCTAGAGCCAGCCAACTCTGGAATGAAACCTCTACAAACTGTAAAACAAAATAAACCTATCCTCCTTTAATATTGGGTGTCAGGTGTTTTGTCCCAGCAATGAGAAAAGTAATTAAAATAGATTTTGGTACGAGAAGTGAAGTTGAACCCATAGAAAACTAGAGCAGATTTGATATCAGAAGTAGAACATTGGTGTAACAAGCACCCAAAAGCACAGAATGTGGAATTGGATTGTGGTCCTGCACAACCCCATGCCACTGCCCAGGGTGGGCTCAGTGGCCCTCAGGCCCTGGAGTGATCCCACCTGGCCCAGCCCGCAGAACTGGCCCTCACCACGGCCCCACCCAGAGGCTCCCCATAGGAGCCCCTTGGGGCCTCCATGTCTCTCAATCCCTCTCCCCCTCCTCCTAGCTTCTCCCTCTGCCTCTTCCTTCAGGTCCTTGTTCCACACCAGCCAGGACTTCCATGGCCTCTGGGCTGCCTCCAGCTGTGCACATCTGGTCAGCAGCCCAACATGGCTTTGCCCACATCTCTGAAGGGCTCCCATCTGAGTAAACTTGGCCCCAAGACACAGCCCCACAACTCAGAGTCCGAGTTTCCAGCCTTGCTCCTGGGCCTGGCTGGCCCTGCCCTTCTGGTGAGGTGATACAGTGTTTCTCCTGTCCTCTGCCGTCCCCACCATGTTCCCTCCTCACATGCATCACGGACTCAGGTGATGGCCCCAACCCTGTTAATGTGCTGCACCTTGACCCTGGGTGATGGGAGGAGGAGGGTGCCTCTGCGAGAGGACTGGGACAGCACAGGATGGTACACTAGCAGAGCAGCCCGCCGAGCCAAGGCCCCTTCCTCCTGCAAGAATAGGCCAGAAGGAGCCATCCAGGAGCCAGGAAAACAGGCAGGGATCTGCTGTCCGGGACCTCAGGCAGGGCCTGCAAACCAGGAGAAGCATCTGGCTCCATGTGGGGCTACCCGGTCCGGCCTGTTGTTATAGCCAACCAAATGCACGGAGACCCCGGCCACTCCGAACACTGGCGCCAACACTCACACTCCTGTCCCATCCGTGCTGCAGGCCACCAGCCACTGTGCCTGCAGAATTCAATGCCTAGCTCACTGCCCAAGTATACACAGCCAGAGTTCCACTTGCTTCCCCTGGGTCCCCACACATCCCCCAGAAACAAAGGTTTGGGATGAGACACCTAGTGTCCCAGTGACAGCCTGCCAGAAACAGCACTAGTGGGAGTCAGCTGTGGAGAGCAGAGGCCATGCTGGGAATGCGCAGCATCTGGTCCTGCTCCTGGTTTCCAGTGGGGACTGGTGGGGAGACTGGGCCTGTGAATGTGTCCACTCTCACCTTTCTTCTGGCCCTGGTGCTGCTGTTCCTGTGTCCCTCCCGGAGCCCCTGGAGCCACAAGACAGTTCTTGACTCAGGCCCCTTGGGATGCCACTCAATGCAATGGTGTGAAAAAAAGGAAGACGATCCTTCAAAGAAGGAGGTGTCACAGGAGAGCACATCTACATTTATTTCAGGACAACATGTGTGCACACAGCAAAGTAGAGCATGGGGACCCAGTGCTGTGACCATGGAGGGGATAACGGGCTGGTGTGGAGAAGCCTGTGTCCCAGAGTACAGAGCTGGAGAGACATGGTAAGACGTAGTTCGTTCAAGTCTAGGGCCGTGTGGGCCAGGCCACCTCAGCTCAGGGCAGGCCCTATGGTCAGGCTACTGGTGTCCGTGTCCTTCCACAGCTGTGTCACTTCACCTGCATGTGACAGAGGCAGCATGAATGGCCGTCCCAAGTGGGAGCAAAGGTGGGGGCAGTGAGGACCCAGATGGCCAGGACCGTGGTCCAGCCAGGCTCCTGCCCTACTCTCAGTGCCCATCTCCGCCCCAGCCATGTACCTTGAACAGGGTGACAGTGGCGCTGTAGAAGAGGCTCAGCAGGAAGAGCACAATGAAGGTGGAGGTGGTGGTCCACGTGTTCTTGAAGCCCTCCTCTTCAGCGCTCACCTCTCCCTCTATGGGAGACACAGGAGGGAGGGTCAGGGGTGCCTGCAGCCCACCTGGGGCTAGGAGCACAGGGCTCAGAGCACAGGATGGCGGACAGTGAACAGCCAGGGTGGCAGAGGCAGAGGCAGACCAAGCAGGAGCAAAGAGGGATGTGAGACTTTGCCCAGAGACCCTGGGTGGCAGAGAGAGCAGGGCAGGTGTAGTGCATGGACACAGGAGAGGGCAGAGGCAAGGACCCAGGGGACTGGGCTTCCAGTGAGTCCCGGACCCTCTTTGAACAGGGGCACAGCCAGAGCCATTTGGCCACGAAGCAGGGGTGGTGGGGCATGTGTCGGGTAGTGGGATGTCAGGGCTGAGGCTGCCCCGATCAACTCTCCAGGGACTCTGACGAAAGGAGCAGAGGCCTAGGTACATCCCAGCTGTCTGGTCCTGCCCTAGCAGATGGACATAGGCCTGGGATGTCCTGGCTGGCAGTTCTTGTCCTTCCAGAATGACAGAGGCCTGAGGATATCAATCTCAGAAGCCCTGGGGAACACAGTGGGGTGCAGCACTCAGAGGACATCTGCAGCTCACGTGAGAGGACAGGAGCAGCCCCAGGACTGTTCTTCGGGTGTGGGGACCTCATTTGGTCCTGTCCTCCATGCATGGGCTCAGCCTCTCTGCACAGCTGCCCTCTGCCCTCTGTGCCCTGGCTGGGCAGGATAGATGTTTACAGGGTGATTGTGCTAACATTGACCTTAGTGACCTCCTCGAAGAGGGACAGTCCCATGTCTGGAGGCCAGGTCTGGACACTACCTGCTCTGACACTTGCAGTGGACACTGCTGTGTTCAGTATGGGTGCTGGGTACTTGCTGCCTCCCCAGAACCTGGTCTGGAGGGTACCTCCCTAGGAACCCCCGGACTCAAGCTCTGCTCCCTGAGACAGTACAGCAGCTCCACCCCGAGGGGTGCTCTGAGCTCTGTCTTTGGGCTAGAGGATGCCTGTGTGCTAAGCCTGTGCCATGTGTCCACCTACTCCTGTGCACACATGTGTTCCTATACACGTGTCTTTGTGCATAGTGCATGAGCACGCATATGTCTCTGTATGTATCTGTGTCTTGAGCCTCTGTGTGCACTTGTGTGTAGATGGGCACATGGCCACACATTCCATGTGTGTGTATGTGACCATATGCATGTGTACCTGTTTGTGTGTCACTGCATGTCATGTGTGTGCATGTATTCATGTACATCTGTATGCCTGTGTGTCAGTGGATACACATGCCAGCACATGTGTATGCATACCTGCTCACCTACACATGCATGTGTCTCTCTCTGTATACCCATGGGTATGCCTGTGTGCTGCCTATACCAGTGTGGCTGAGCATTCAGCCATATGTTAGAAGTGGCTACAGGGTCTGCTAGCCCACATGGCTGTGCAAGCATCAGTGAGGAGCCAGGACCTCCCTGGGAACCTGGAGGACATGTGCCAGAGGATGAATGGGGTTTACAAGGGGTGTGCAGGACAGGCACAGCACAGCTGTGGCCCAACAGGCCAGAGGATTTTGTACTCAAAACCAGCGTCTTTTGAAGGGATCTTTTTATTTCTAATTTTAGGAAATGCAACACAGCACCCCTGACACAGCTAGTTTGCACATGCATATGCAGAGAAACTGGACCCCAGCCCCTGGGCTGGCTAGGGCAGCATGGTCAGTGGCAGCTGGTGGCTGTGTCAGACATGATCAGGGACACGTTACACAGGGTAGGTTTACCGGTGGACTTGTCCACGGTCCTCTCGGTCACCATGTACGGGAGGGCCTGGTGGCTCACGATGCAGGTGAAGGTCTCCCCCGAGAGCCAGTCCTCCACGGTCACTGTCAGCAGGCTGTGGGTGTAGTAGAGGCCTGGGGCCTGGGGCTCAGGCATCGGGGCACTGGTCACGTACTTGTCCGAAGACACAGACTGCCCTCTTTGCAGCCACTGCACAAAGACGTCTGCAGGTGCAAATCCCTTCACCAGGCAGGTGACAGTGGCTGCCTCCCCCAGGACCAGCTGCTCCCGAGCTGGTGGCAGCACATACACAGCAGGCGGGTGCTGGGCCTCTCCTGTGGGCAGAAAGGAGGTAGTGAGCACAGGGCAGGCAGGGACAGGTGGGATCCAGGGAGTGGGGTGGGGGCTGAGGCTACCTTGGGGCTTGGAGACGGTCTTCTTCAATGGGAAGGGCAGGTCCTGATGGGTCACTGTGCACGAGAAGCTGTCCCCAGACTCCCAGTCCTCTGCACAGATGCTGGCCTCCCCCGTGGCACTGAGGGTGCCATTGGCATGGCTCTGGGAGACCTTGATGCTGGTTGGCAGGTCCTCACCATTCTGGCGGGCCCAGGAGATGTTGAGTCCTCCACGGTGGCTCAGGTCAGTGACCAGGCAGGTCAGCTTGGCAGACTTGGTGAGGAAGGTGCCAGCAAAGGAGGGTGGGATGGGGAAGACTCTGATGTCTGTGGGCGGAGGTGCTGTGGAGAGAAGGCTGCTGTGTGTGGTGTTGGATGTGAAGTCAGGGAAAGGTACAGCCCGCTGGGAGCAGCCCTGCCCCAGTGAACCATTTGGTGTCACCAGACCTGTGCCCTCAGTGCTCCCTGCCCTGTCCCTGGCTGCTCTGGGAAGCAAGGCTCAGGAGCAGGTGGCTAGATCTGGGTGGCATCTGCCACAGCCGAGTGAGCAGTGGTGGGGGTGCCTTGGGCTGGAAGAGTGGTGCTGAGTGGGGGACAGGCACTCACTGGGGACACACACGGAGGAGGACACATTCTTCTTGAAAGTGCCCGCTTTGTGATTCACGCGGCAGGTGAACATCTTCTGGCCCAGCCAGTCACTCTCAGTGATGGTCAGCGTGCTGGTGACCTTGAAGGTGGGGAGCTGGGAGCCTTTGTTCTCGGCTATCACTTGGTCAGTGGTGAAGCCGGACCTCATAAGCTTTCCATCCCGCAGCCAGGACACTGTGATCTGCTTGGGGCTGAAGTCTGTGGCCTGGCAGACGAGTTTGGATCTTCCAGAGTTGAGGAAGGCATCTCGGGGTGGGACGAACACGGTCACGTTAGGGGCCTGCTCCACAGTCACTGAGGTGAGGAGACAAGGTGTGAGCCCTGCTCGACCCAAGTCCCCTTGCTGCCTCTCCTGGACATGCCAGGGTCTCTGTGACTCCAGGGGAAGCCCGGCTCTCACCTGGGAGGGGCACTTCCTTCTTGTTGCTGCTGCTGCCATGCTGGACCTTGCACACCAGGTGCTCATCTGTGCCCTGCACAGCGTCTTTGGAAGGCAGGAGCACCTGGGAGGTGGACAAGTACTTGCCCTCTGTCAGCACAACTGGGAAAGTTCTGATGCCCTTGCTCACCTTGGAGCTGTTCTTATAGGTCCAGGAGAAGGAGATATCACCAGGCAGGAAGTCCCGTGCCAAGCACCCCACAGACACAAGGCCGTCATCGGCCAGGGGCCTCTCACAGGATGTGAGGGGAAAGAGAGTCGGAGAAGATGGGCTTTCTGGGGATCCAAGAAGCACAAATGAGAAGAGGAGGGTGAGATGCTTTCTCTCGTGCTCTGTGTGACAGGGGTCTGTCCACACCTCCCTCCCACAGGGGCTACCCCTTGGGCACTGCACAGCTGCCAAGGCCTGAGAGGACAGGACAAGCTGTGGTCACAGGCCATGGGGGGCTGGGAGGCCTCATTGGCCCACTGCTATAGGGGCTGAGGAGGAGGATACCCTGGGAGTAGGAGACCCTGCTCAGCACCAATAGGCCTGTGTGCTGCTTCCCTCTGGGCCATAGCCATGTGCTGGCTTGATCAGTGGAGAGCAGGAGGAAACAAAAGGGCCCAGGCCTCAGGGCCACATGGGAAGCCAAGGCCACACCGCAGGAGGCTGCAGCTCTGTGTGGGCACACTGAGTTAGCAGCACCGCAGCCTGCCCCAAGGGCCCCTAGGCTGGCAGCAGGGCTGTGTTGGGCAGGAGTGAGGTACTCTAATGGACAGGACACTAGTGTGAAACCAGCTTGGCTTTACCTCGGCACAGCAGATCAAGAACACTGGCCCAGCACAGCATACCCAGGGGTAGGCTGCACAGTGGGCAGCTCCACTAGAGCCATGCGGTCCTGCAGTGCCTGCCTGGACCAGCTGGACAGAGTCCTGATGCACTGGCCTGGATCACCTGGCCCAACCATCTCAGCAGAACTCAGTGCAGCCAGCTTAGCCCAGCTCAGCCCAGTTCAGTTTAGCTCAGCCTCACCCAGCTGACCCAGCTGAGCTCAGCTCAGCCCAGGTCAGCCCAGCTCAGACCGGCTTAATCCAGAGCAGCTGACCCTGCCTCACTATAGTGCCACTAAACTTAGCCAAGTTCATCTCAACCCAGCTCAGCTGAGCCCATCTGCCTCCAGCTCTGTCCAGCTTTGCTAATTTAGCCGAGCTCAACCTTCAGCCCAGCCCAGCTCAGCTCAGCCTAGCTCAGCTCAGTCACCTTGGCTCAGCTCATTCCAGCAGGCGGGTGCTTGCTCAGCCCACCTCACTTCAGTTTGGCCAAGTTCAGTACAGCCTGCCTCAACCTTGTGCAGCTTAGCTTGGTTCAGTTTAGCTCTGCTAACCAGCTTACTCAGTTTACCTTTTCCAGCTCAGCCCACCTCAGTACAGAGGGTTCTGTTAACCAGTTCAGCTCAGCCCAGCTCAGCCCAGCTCTGCTAGCCAAGCTCAGCATGGCTTAACCTATCCCAGCTCAGCTCTGCTAGCCCAGCTCAGCTTAGCCCAGTTCAGCCCAGCCCAGCCCAGCTATGCCAGCCTATCTTAGTCCAGCAGCTCTGCTAGCTAAGCACAGCACAGCTCAGCCTAGCCTAGCTCAACTCAGCCCAGCCCAGCCCAGCCCAGCCCAGCCCAGCCCAGCTCAGCCCAGCTCTGCTAGTCCAGCTCAATCCAGTTAAGCCCAGCCCAATTCAGGCCAGCTCAGCCCAGACCAGCTCAGCTCAACCCAGAAGAGCCCAGCCTAGCTCAGCTCAGCTTAGCCCAGGTCAGCCCAGCTTTGCTAGCCCATCTTGGCACAGCCCAGCTCCGCTAGTCAAGCTCAGCTCAGCTCAGCTCAGTCCAGCCCAGTTCAGCTCTGCTAGCCCAGCTCAGCTCAGACAACTCTGTTAGCCCAGCTCTATAAGCTCAGGTCACTGTTGCCCAGCCCAGCCCAGCAGACCTGAGCTAAAACGCTCCACAGCTTGATCCTGCACAACCACCTGGCCTTTATCACCCTCAGTCTCTCCTCTGGCTCCTATGGCCTGGTCTCCCACCCTGCTGGGCCAGGCTTTAGGCTGCAGAGCCACCCAGTCAGTCACTATCCCTTTACAAAGGGGAATAATATATCCCTGCAACTTGAAATTCACTGAAACATCTTGAGAATAGGTCAAGAATGTAGGGGCATTTCTTAACACTGGAAAGTTCTTTGTCCTCCAGAACCCACAGCTTTCTCTGTGCAGGTGGGAAGTAGCCTGGGAGCCTCCCTCAGAGCCTGAACTCCTGGAGGACCCCCTTAGACTGGATCCCTCCCTTCTGAGTCTAAAATTAGCTTGACTTTAATTTCCATCCAGATCAAAACCATCATTAATAACAACTATGAAAAGCATTTTATCTAAATTCGCCACTTAAAATTCTTGTTTGCCAAAGTACGGTAATGGTCTAAAATCAAATCTGCATTGAAGATAACTTAAATGAAGAAAACACCGGTGGCCCTTTTATACTTTAAACACCATTAGAGTTGCTGGTGCCCGTTTCTCCTTAACATGTCCCTCGGTGAAAGTTGCCTGTGAGTGATTCAGTCACTCCAAGCATTCTTTTTTTCTTTTTTTTTTTGGTACCGAGGATCGCACTCGGGTCCTTGCGCTTGCGCAGCAGGCAGCAGAACCACTGAGCTAAATCCCTGGCCCTCTCCAAGCATTCTTAAATACATTTCTTTCCCTTCCTCCAACAATAAAGACTGATTCCTTTTCCAATAGAAACAAGCATCAAATATAAACTTTTAAGAGATGTAAACTTGGCAAGAGTGGCTGCTTCTTGCTTACCATATTGGGTGCCTGGGTTGCTGGGAGGTCCCAAGGGTCTTTGGCATGAAATATTTTCTCCAAGTTTATTAAAACTGGCTGATTCATGAGGAGCCCATTGGCCTGGTGGCAGAAGCCAAGGCCATACATTCCTAGATCTGAGTGGTTTTGGGAGACGTAAGCTGAGCCTAGGCCCAGCAGCAACCCGCACTCGAACCTCAGCCAGCAGCCCTTAAGCAGGAAGCTGGGCAGAGGTGAAGCGTCCTTCCCCGCCAGAGTCCTCAATGGCTTTCCTTTGCATTAGCCGGCTGAATCTACCAACTAACATGTTTATCTGAAATAATTCAAGGTGATTATACACATTCAAGGTGATTATACACATATTCAAGGTGATTATATCACCTAAAATTTCTCTGAAAGTGAATACTCAAAAAGTAGTTTTGAAAAGTACTTAAAAAGCCATCTTTATCAAAATATGAAAATGTTTTTTCTTAATCACAACACTACCTTAAAATATTATGAACACAGTCAATGTAAAAACAATGCTTCAGTTATTGGGAAAAGCACATATATTAGTTATCACATGAAAGAACACCAAAGCAATTAAAAAACTTTCCTAAATACATTAATAAACTGCCCCTAAGACTGTTTAATTTCATGCACATCTTTCTTTGAAAATGAATATAATTTAGAATTTGATAAGCTTAGTTGGTAAGCTAAGACACAAAAATTAAATTCACATAGTTAAAAGAGGACTTTCCAGTTCCTGGGAGCATCTGAACCTTATTTTAGAAATGCAAATGACCCAGGTGTTGTTTTCCTTACAAGGAACTTTCGAATCTGTGAGGCTGGGCAAAACATTTGAAAACGGCTTCTTTATAACCTCAGCTATAAATTTACCTATTCTGTTTTTTGCTTCCTAAAATAGCCTCTCCATGTGACCAGCTTCCGGCCACCTGCTGTAGGTGTTCTGGCCCCAGGCAATCTTGACTCTAACTCACATCCCAGCATGGCTTCACTGACTTAAAAAATAAACTTGATTTATTATTGTCTCAACTCAGCCCTGATTCCAGGCAACAGTACCGAATTACTATTCCTTGGCTGAACTTGCAGCAGTATCAATTCCAGACAGATAGGACTCATGGTTGTTAACTAAGTACTAAGAAATTTAAACACCTAGACATTAAAAAGTGGAATATACTTGAAAATCTCTCATATTTAAGTCACAATTTTCTTGGCCATTCTTCTCCGGAGCCCCTTCAGAGACATCTGGTCTTTCCATATTTGCTAAGCCTGCTTCTCAGCCTTTTCTTCTCCATGTGTCTGCACAGAGCCTGGCCCTCTCCTTCTCAAGAGCCTGTCGGGGCAGCAGCTGCCCTACCAGTGCCAGCACCAATTCTGCCCAAAGCCACGCCTACACGTTATCCTTGCTGGATTCACTCCCTTTCTTTCCAACAAAGAGGGTTTTAAATATGATCTGGCACAGAGCATACCTCACCATTCCGAAGAAAATACTCCACTCCGCTCTGTGTGGTGGTCCAGTCACCCTGCCAGTGTAGTCACTGGGGCACCCTCCTCAGCCAACACTGACTCCAGAGCTGGACATCCCCATCCCAGCCAGAGATGTCCCCCAGCTGTGGGACCCTGGCCCTTTCAGTACGCTATCTGAAGGTGGCCCTTAACCCTGGGCCCAGTTTGGGGGTTCAGTCACTGGTCCTTATTCTAATTTTCCAAAGACATTGGAACATCCACAGAGACTCCCAGTCCTAGCCCTCCTGGCCAGCTGCCTAGATCCGCTCAAGTGCATTGGGATGAGCCTGGAGTTCTCAGAAAACCTTGTAGACAAGAGCAGAGAACAAAGGTCTCAGCTAGGCTGTTCTTACCTGAGGAGATGGTGACCAGGATCCCCAGACCCCAGTAATCCAAACCGTAGTAATCACAATGGTGGACTCTCTATCCACACCCTACAAAAACCCTGAGTGCCTGGCTAGCATTGTGGCCCGTCACCCAGAGATTCACACTGACTCCAGTGGTCACGCCCAAGTCACTGTCAGGTCTGTGACTCTACCAGCCCCCACACATCCACATTTCAGTCCGGCGCCTCAGAAGCCAGACCACTGCTGGCCTGGGAAGGTGACCTGGAACTGACATGCCTTGTTGTCCAGGGACCCACAAAGCTGGATGGCCTCAGAGCTGACAGAGCCCACTTACATGGCAGTCACTCCAACCCTGATGTTCCTCCACTGGCAGGGACTTCTGTCCAGAACTGCTGTGGCCAAAGGGGCCTGGATCTTAGCTCCCCAGATCCCTTTCCTGAACACTAACATGGAGACCTCAACACCTGAGTCTCCCCTGGTGCGTTAGAGTAAGGATGGGGCAGGACTCACCCGAGGAGATGGTGACCAAGGTCCCTTGGCCCCAGATGGCAAACCAGGTGTCTCATTGTGACAACCATGCCAGGACCCCAGACAAGAACTGGTGCCTGGATGGGGCCCCAGGGCCCCTCAAATCCAGCCCAGTGGGGAACCGGAGCCCAGAGAGACCCAGTCAGAAAGACTAAGAGTCTTTCCTGGCCCCCTAGGGGATACCCTGTCCTTCTTGGCCTAAACCCTGACTCAATTGTTTTGCCCTCAGAATGCACCAAAACCCTCGCAGTTGAGCAGGAGAAGGAGCTGTAAAGACTCACCTGAGGAGATGGTGACCAGGATCCCTGGGCCTCAGGTAGTTAAAGTAATAACACTGCTGTAGGCCTCCTTAGGTGGTGTACAAATCCTGACCTCCCAGAGCCTGTGAGGCAGCCAAGGCCAGAAAGGCCAGGTCCCAGGGTCACAGTGTGTCCCATGCCCAGAGCACAGTTCTGCCACCCTTTGTCTCCAGAGCAAAGTCTCCCTATCCCCACAGGAAGACCATCAGCAGAGGACACAGCCCCGCAACCCCCAAATGACCCCCCATGGGTCCCAGGCGACCCCATGCAGACCAAAGAACCTCTAGAAATTCCTTGCCTAGCTCCCAAGGAGGCTGTGCCCAGATCACAGAGGCTAAAGAAAGTGACCTCACCTGAGGAGACGGTGACCAGGGTGCCCAGGGGCCCCAGGTGTCTAGTTGGTTGTCACATTGTGACAACCCTGACAAGACCTCAGACAAGAACTATGCCCGGCTGGGGTCTTGGGACCCCCCTCAAGTTGAGCTCAGTGAGGATCAAGGGCAGCAGGGACCAGTGGGGCCCAGAGGCCAAGGGTGCCTGGGAGCCCCAGAGACACTGTAGCAGAGACTGGGAGCAGAGGGGGTCTGTGTGGGCCGTGGCCCCCAGCGTCCTTTCCTAACCCCTCAAGCTGCCCCTGTCCTTCTTGGCCTGAGACTCGGACTCCATTGTGTTGCCTCCACAATGCAGCAAAACTGCATGCAAAACTCATGTTCTCTGAGCTGAACAAGAGAAGAAGCTGTAAGGACTCACCTGGGGGGACACTGACCCCTGTCTCCTGCAGCAGGGTCCCCTGGCCCCAGTATTGAGTTTCCACACTGCTGGGTCCCATTAGTGGGTGAATAAAAACCTAATCTTCTGAGGCCTGTGGTGACTGGGGTGCCAGGGCCCCGGTGTCAAAGTACCAGTAGCACAGCCTCTGCCCTCAGGCTGCTCCTGCACTAAACATCCCCTAGACTCAGCCCCCTGGCCCTCCCCTCCCCAGATGCAGGACTCAGCTGAGGAGACGGTGAGCAGGATGCCGGGGCCCCACTGATCAACGCATAGGCACAGTGGGTTGGCCCGCCACGCAGGGACACAGAAACCCCCAGCTTGGGGTCCCCTAGCTCTACCCTACTCCTGCCCCATGCAGGTCCCTCATTGGTTCCTCTTCTCCCATTCCCCCACCCTGCAGGGCCCTGCAGGGCTGTCGACTATGGGCTGTCCTCTCTTCTTGTATGGGCTGGGTTTTTGTAGAAGTGTCAGTCACCAATTAGCACCCTGGTGGTTCCCAGCTCAGCTAAAACCCTTTGGTAGGAGGAAGGGCTGGGGGTGGGGGTGAAGATGGGAGGTGGGGAGTGGGAGTAAGGATGGGAGGTAAAGGGTGGGAGTGGGGAGTGGACCTGAGGGTGTAGATGGAGCCTAGGAGCTGGTCTGGGAAGCACAGCTCAGGCCCTCAGAGTGGGTCAGGCCAAAGGTTCCGTGCCTTCCCCTCACCATCAGCCACTGAGCGCCCAGGACAACCCAGCCTAACCCTCGCAGTCATTCCTGAGTCAGGAGTGAATAATTTGCTGGGTAACAATCACTAAAGGGCTGGAGGTGACTTCTCCCTTAGAATCTGACAGATGCCGGGGGTTGATCCCCGCCCCCGCCCCTTGCCCTTTAGTCCTCTTATCAGCTTCAGAGAGAGGCCTGGTGGTGGGGTTGGGGTCTCCTCACCTGGAGACTGGGACCCAGGACATCTGCCAGGACTGTCAGCAGCTTGTCTCTCTCTGACCCCACTCACGTGCGTGCGGCTGGACAGGAGCAGGTCATCCCTCCCAGGCACTGGACTCCCAGGCGATACACCCTTCCGGTCCCGATGACGCTTCGGCCCTTGGCGAGGGTCTCAGCTCTGCCCAGGACCGTGAGGGTAAGGGTAGGGTAGTCTGAGAGAGTGAACCCACCCAGACCTGCAGAGGTTCAGGGTAGACAGGAGGGGTGAGGGCCACTGGGGGAAGTGAGGGGTTCAAACCCCCCGGGGGAGGACACCTGGGACCCTGTTGCAGGGACAGAGACAGCCTGGGAGGGGCCTGCAGGAGAGGAGGGGGGACTCGACTGTGAGCTGCTGGGGGCTGACACCCTGCCTGGTGACAGAGGCTAGGCCTAGGCCACGAGACGGCTGTGAGGAGGAGGGCTTGGGAGCCGACCTCAGAGGGGCAGGAGTGGGGCTCGGAGAGAGGTCGGTTCTTCCAGGGCCCTTGTCTGTGTGGGAACGTGAGGGCTGAAGGGCGACAGGGGAATGCGGGAAGAGGAAGAGGGTGCGCGGAGCTGGGCACGATGCGGGCCAGGAGAGGAATGACACCCGGCTCCAGGCAGGACCGAGATGCCCAGGAGGTGCTGGGACCTCCGTGCTGAGGGTGGTGTCATAGCCGGATCGGCAGGAGAAGGGGCCAGGTGAAGGCATGTGTGGAGGGGCCACTTCCTGCTGCGCCCGTCTCACGGCCCCGGGAGGGCTTCTTGGCCGGTCGCTCCTCTCGGTCCTCTGGGTTTCTCCGGGGATGGGTGAGGCCCGCCCCGGCTGCTCGAGAAGCTCCTCCTCCTGCCACCCGGACCTCTGCTGCTTCGGCCTCACCCTGGCTCTGCACCGCTCACTCCCGCCTCGTTCCTGCTCCCCTCTCTCCATCCAGCATGCCCCGTCGGTCCTTGTGAAGCCCTGCATGGGAGAGACCGTGAGTCCCCTGAGAGAATGCAGCCTGCCCTCCCTGTCTCTTCCCTGATGTGCCGTGCACAGCTGCTGTGTGCCAACCCCACCCCTATGCAGCTCCTCTGCAGCAGCCTCTCCGGTCTGATTCTGGACCCTCCACCTCCCTATCACCAGCCAGGGGAAGGACTTGGGTGTCACAGCTCCGTGCCCCGTGACTGCCAGGCCTGGAGGCTGCATCAGCAGCGTGGGGCCAGAGCCTGGCTTCCTTCTGGGCTGAGTTGGTCCTCCTGCCTCTCCTCACCTCTGGAGCCTCCTGGGGTTCCCGCCCCACCCCAGAAATTGCCGGGCCCCTGAAGGTGATGGAATGGGAGCTCTGGCACTTGGCTCAGGGTTGGGACATGTCCCTGTCACTGTCAGAGCTGCTCATCACAGTGATGCCCCAGGAGAGGCTTCCTGGCTGGGATGAGGAATTAGGTGAGAGCTGCAGTTGCTCCAGTTACTGGGCTTCTGAATTGTGATGTCCAGGGATGGGAAGTCAAGAGATGAGGGATACACGAGGGGGGTTTGGTGACCAGAGACTGTGATGGACGTGCCTGACCAAGGGACAAGGTACACTGGTGGGCCTTCCTGGTGTGAGGAGCTACTGGGGCTAGGGAGTTCATCAGGTTCTGGGCCAGGGCCCAGGCCTCCTGGCATCATGGTAGACAAGATAGCCTAGTACTGAGTAACATGAGAAATGGAACTGCTTCCCACATCCTGGCTGGGGACTGTGTGCTGTGCTGTGTGTGTGTGTGTGTGTGTGTGTGTGTGTGTATGTGTGTGCTCACACACAGGCATGAGAGGGGTCAACCTCTAATGGCCACAGCCCTTGGGGAGGTGGCTTCTATGCTCCTGGGGCCACTATCAGCTAGAACTTCCATCCTCAAACTAGGTCCTGTGGGTAGAAGCTTGGGGAGAAAACCTCAATGTTTCTTGACTGAGGTCAGAAGCAATGTGGGGACTCAAGGCTGTGGCATGTCGGGGAACAGCTATGAGAAGGAATTTCTGAGGAGAAACAGAATCCCCTCCTTTAAACAAGAGTGGAAACCAGAACAGAGAAAATAGGAGGAGGCAAAAATGCATGCCGTGAACTCCAAAGGTGACAGTTGAAGAGGACCTCAAGGTCAAGCCATGCTCTACAGCCCAGAATCAGAGATATAGGAGCCCGACATTCTGGAAGAAAAGGATGGTGGGGGCCACATACCTGGGGCCAGCAGGGATCAGCTGCAGGTGGCAAGGCCTGGTCAAGCAAAGGCAGAGCCTGGCATGCAGGTACCTGACACCGTGTAGGTGGTGGGTATTGTCTGTCAGCTCTATGAGGCAGGAAGTAGTGGACGCAGCATGGGCATTATAGGGAACAGGGAAGGGGCCTGTGAGCCACCACGGCACAAGGCAAATTAAAGAACAGACGGGAAACAAGACAGAGTAGAGAAGCTGAGCCTTGGGTCCTGATCGGTGCCGTAGATGGCAGCAAAGACAGAGGCCCCCAAACACATCCAGTATCTATTGAATACAATTGTGGGAAGGGATAGGGAGCCGGGTGTGCTTAGAAGGCATCTAGTGAAACACTGCTGAACACCTGGGCTGATGGCGCCAGGCAGGGCTGTTAGGGAGTCGGCATTGCGTATCTTGCTTGGATAGAACAAGCAGGTACTGGGACTGGGTGCAGTCAGCAAGTAACCCATCGGGTCAATGAGAAGCCATAATTTAGGGGAAGCATTTTAATTAGGGTCACACTGACCTCAGTGAAATGTAACTCAGCAGAGCCCTGTCACTTCACAGACCAGGGCCTAGGTTTCCATGGCAGCCACCGAGGGAGGGGCTATACTCACCCTTCTGACGTGCCCATTTGAGTCACATAGAGCTTCGGTCTGACTCCCGATATAAAACAATACCACCAAAGTATGGAAAGCAAGAAGCAGGTGCCACTCATGGCGCATTAGTATTGGGCAGGGATGTCTGCTACAGGGCATTGCACCTTATCTGTCACTTTCAGCACACAAGAAGTTCTCTGCAGGGCTTTTGGGCCTAGGGGCTGTCACCTTTCTCCAACAGTAAGCTCCATGATATGCTATGGCCAGCCCCAGGAGAGGATGTTGGGTGCAGGTCAGGGATGACCCGAGCCCATCACCCCGACCTGTGACCAGCACTGGTGTTGGGATGTAGGTGGGAGCCCCATCACCAAGGAAAGGAGTGGTGAAGGACAGCCTAAGCCCCTCCTAGGCGGACATTCCTGGCCCTCTTGGGTGAGCAGGCAGGGTATGGGGTTGGGATGTGGCACCAGAGGCATGGAGAGAGCAGGCCCTGGCTCCCTGGTGGGATGGAGACCGAGGAGGGGTGGAGTGGGCTGGACCACGTCCTGGAGTGTCGCCTTGACCTCTTCTCGCTGCCAGGGCTGGAGTGTGAGAGTGAGCTCCAGGTCTTCCTGGTGCTGCCCCAGCCCGGGGGCTCTGTGCCTTCCACTAAGGAGCCCTAACCTATGTGGCTGCTGGGGTTGCGGGCTGAGAGGGCCCAGGACCTGGTTGAGCTCTTATCCCCACCATGTATGCTCTCTCACTAGACCTGAGAGGGCACAAAGGCCAGTGGCTTTTGTCCTGCTGGACACACAGGGCAGACCCTAGTCCTGGTCCTCTGGGGGTTAGGGGGCATCTGCTCTGTGTGACCCAGACAGTTGCACCTGACATTCTCTGGCTGGAGTGATAGTGGAAGGGCCAGCTTCTCCTCTCTCCTTTAGGGTGGTGCCCATGAAGGATCAGCTCTGGCCAGGGACACTAGAGCCTGACAGGGAAATGAGAACAGCCAATCCTCTCCTACCAAGGAATAGGAACACCCAGAAGCCTCTGCATAGCCAGGGGTACACAGGTGGCCAGGGTGCACATGTGCAGGTGGAGCTGGGCCTCCAGCAATGCTGCAGGAAAAGTTTTGGACCTGGCTTTTCTCACTGTGGTGCCCTCCACCATCTCCACTGTGAGTCAGGGATGTGCAGAATCTGCCCGGGGTCCAGCCGGGGTCCTTTACATTTGTGGTAGGTGGAGGCTTCCTGCAGGTGGGGCTGGTACCTGGGATCGGGGTGGCTTTGGGGCAGGTTTTTTTTGGTACTGGTGATTGAACTCGGGACCTTGTGCTCGCAAGGCAGGTGCCAGAACCTCTGAGCTTAGTCTCCAGCCCTGGAGCAGGTTTTATGTGCAGCCAGTGGCATTGTGAGACCCAGTCTTAAGCCTGCACAAATTCTCATGCCACCTGCTGGGCTATGCTGAGGTCCTCTCCCCGGGAGGTCCTTTGACTGCTGGGGCTCTTCTGCCTTCAGCCTCTGAGTGGTTGTAGCAGGATTGTGGGTGGGGCTGCTGGTAGTCCCTGGTTGTGACGGGCCAGGTAGTTCAGGGGCTGTCTTCTGGCCCAGCCCCTTCTAGCTACCCCTCTCCTCTTCTGGGGACAGTAAGCCCTTGGGGAGGCATCTGCTGGCCTGGATGGATGAGAGGAGGTGAACTTAGAGCCCAGACACCTGGTCCTTCTTGCAGGGCTTGCTGGGGGTTTCCAAACAGCTGAGTGTCACTGTGGGACAGGGTTCCCGAGCCCACAGTGACGCAGACACCAACCCAGCCTGCCCAGTGTGGTCTTCCCTTAGCTGGGTTCAGTAGTGCCCTTGGTCTTGTCTGGTCTTTCAGGTGCGGAGTTCCCCACACCCTACTGCTCTCTCCTGAGCTCTGGCAGCTTCTGGTCTCTGGGCTTTTGGCTTAGTCTGTGTCTTGTGCCGTGTGATGGGAATGCTACAGATACCACCGCCTCCCATCCAGTGTTGGAACCGAGCCCTGGCCAGCCCTGCATCCACACCCTGGCCAGATCACCCTGCCAGTGTAGGGGAGACAGTGTGGATGACCTGTGGCAGGTGGATACTGGGCAAGAGGGGAGGTAGGAAGGCAGGGTCCCAACAGCACAGCAGACCCAGGCTGGCCGTGGACGAGAAGTGCATGTAGTCAGAAACAGTCCCACCATGACCGGACGCAGCTGGGCACCAAACCAGCCAGCTGCTCTGTGTCTCCTCCCTGTGCCCTGGTGGCTTTCCCAGGGCTAAGGAAGGAACATGGAAGGAAGAAGCCCAGGCCTGGGGAAGGGCTCTCAGGGCTCCTGGGCCTCCTAGGTGGCCATCCTTCCTGTCCATGTCC